CCTCCCTCTCTCTCCACATTCTACTCCTGTACTCTGATATGCACAGTACTCATGTTCTTCCACAATGACACCCAATCACACACTCAGAATCATCCATATCATCCATTTAAACACAAGAATAGGACACTGCCTAACTCCTAGAGAGTATGGAGCTCTGGGTTGGTCAGGCCCACTAAAGCCCTGGACACGGGGTGGACCTTTCCAACATCCTTCACAGGCTAGGCTCTTTTGTCCTGCTCATTGCAGCCTGCAAAACCTGGCTGCAATATGCTTCTTGATGGGCAACAACAGGGGCCTGGACAGGGTCTGCCATTCTTAGGGTCCAGGCAAGGTGGGTGGACCTGTTCAAGGTGATGATGAGAGATCCATCTGCCTCATGTCCAGGAGCCTGCTATTCAGGAAGGCTGTGGAGCCCAAATGCCCAGGACCCTCTACCACACTGAGCAAGAAAGGGTAATCACTGTTTTATGGCTCTTGTATTGGGTAGCTAGTTACCAAGAAATCTTGTGGCAAGGGTTAAGTGATAAAAAAGGACCTAAAAAACTTGTCTACAGAATGCAACATCCTCAGAAATCAATATCAATATGGGGATCTGGGAGAAACTGCATCAGGGAAATCAGGGAGAGCAGTACACTAGCAGGAGACAAACAGGAAGGATTAGGATTTGAGGTCGAAACACATAATTTAAAAAAAAAAAAAGCATAATTTCTGAAAGGTCTTCAGGCACCAGAGACTAACAACAGAGCAGAACCTGAGAGCAACAGGCACCCAGGCAATAACACTTTTGAACTGGCAACCTGTCAAAGCCACTCAGTGCTGCCACTGCCGTCTCAGGAGCTCACTCCAAAATCCACCCCAGAAACCTGGCAAATGGAAAATGACGTAGCACCAGGCAGTAGATGAGGAGACAGATGTTTGGCTATAAAGGGCACAGGGTGATGTGGAACCCTGGATCTAGAAAGGGCCGAACAGCTCTGTATCCAAAGGGCTGTGAAAGCACTGAATAGGCCACCTCAGTTTCCCCAAGGGTTGAACCAGAAGCCAGTGGGAAGAGAGGGTGGCAGGGTAAGGCAAGAGCTTCTGCTCCCCCAGCCTGTGGCTCACAACCCTCCCAGGTCTGCAATGCACCCGGCACTTACACAGCCCCACCATTGCTAAGAGAAGTGGAACTCTTCTGTCGAAGGAAAACCCGAGCTCCTCGGAGTACAGCCGGCTGTGTCTGCTCCAGGGTGGCCTTTAGAGGGTGGAACAGGGACACGGGGCCCATCTATGAAAGGGCATAGGTAGAAGAAAGAGGTCAGAGGCACAGGCCTGAGGGACCTGCAGTATGGCCTTGGCAGGCACATGGCATGTGACAGAACCCCGTTTCCCTCCAAGCACAGTTCAGGGTTCACTGTCCTGCAGCAAGGGATCCCTCACTTTTCCTCACTATCTTGTCCCCAAATATAAGCATGTGACCTAAACAGTGAGGCAGGTCAGAGAACTCTTAAAGAATCTCTGGTTCTGCTCAGTGACTTCAGGAAGGCATCCCATTTCTCAGAACCTCAGTTTTTCCTCCCTATACCATTTAAGGTGAGACAGACTATGGAGAGCAAAACAATTTCAACTCATAGCAGTGTAGAGTGGCTGCTGCCTAGAGCTCTAGGAAGAGCAGAACTGGATTTCTAGGGCTAAGAACTTTAGACAGAATCTCCCTGTGGTCACTGAAGACAGGATTATGATAACACCAGGAAGGAAGACTTCAAACCTCCCAAGCCATGAGCAGAGCCAACAGGAACCCCAGGCCCGTCACTGTGCATCTTTCTGGTTCCTGAGTATACAGGCCCTTTCACCTGCCAAAGATCATCTTCAGACATTCATATCTTCTTCCTCTTCTCTACCACTGAAAGTATTATTACTCAGGGCCTCTGTCCTTAGTTCTGGTGTCTAAGAACACCAGGTCTTGTTGTCCTTGAATACTAGCCCTCTAACTCACTACCACCATGCAACCAGTTAATGGGGTGTAACTTCGGCCACTGCACCCTCTCCAAGTATGGGTTAAGTCTCCAAAGGCTGCCAAGGTCTCCAAGACATCTGGGTTACTTCTTGGGAATCTGGGAGTCTGTACCTGGGTCATGCTTACCGGAGCTTGGTGAATCTGGTCTCGGGTGGTTTTGTTCTGTTTGTAAAAGTCAAATATCATCAGGGCTGCATAGACTTTCCCCACTGTCATCTCATCAGCTAAAAAGAACAGGCAAAGAGAGGATTGAGAGGTAATGGTTTGTAGGAGAAAAAATCAGAGAGGCCACTAGAAATGTGGGTGGAATGGGGTAAGAAGGCAGCCTTGTTTCCCTCACTCCACCATGTGCAATCTGGAGGTGCTCTGGGCTGAGGAGCTCCCCACGACCTATCCACGTGCTCACCCAGAGCAGCTCTAACATACCAAGATTCCTGTGCAGAACTGATGTGCCTGCCACCCCCCCCCCC